CCTGCAGAGCGTCCGCATCGTCGCTTCCTATGCAGTCCAATTCGTCGTCTGAGGATGTGGGACTTGGAGGAGGAGTAGTAGAGCGAGGGGCGAGCATGCGAGCAGGAGCTGGATCGACTGGTGCGTCAATTAGAGGATCTGGTGAGGGCGAATTCCGAGGAGGTTCTGGAGCTGGAGCTGGAGCAGGGGACACAGAGCGAATGCGATGGCGAGGAGCAACAAGGTTCTGGCGTTCAAGGTCCCTGTCATTGAGGGAACCCTGGTAGCGAGTAGAGCGAGCTGGGAGCTGTTTCCGAGCGAGTGCTGGGTAAGGTCTGAAGCCGCCTTGACCCTGGGCTGGCTGGTGGACAGATGGTGCAGGGGGACGAGCTATGGGCGCAGGAGGCGGTGGCTGAGGAGCCTGTGGAGCGGCTGGTGCAGGAGGGAGTTGTGGAGGTGCTGGTGGACTCTGAGAGCGCGACTGGGGCTCTGCGACGTCAGGAGATGGAGAGCGCGATGGAGCGATGTTAGGAGGTGGACTCTGAGGCGCAGGAGGCGGAATTTGAGGTGCAGGAGGCGCAGGTGGAGCTGGTGGTGCAGGAGGTGCAGGAGCATCATAGTCGTCGTCTCCCCCCTGATCCTGCAGCTCTGGCACATCTGGCACATTGTCCTGGGGCGCAGAGTCCGCATCCTCGTCGTCTGGTGCAACAGGGACATCCACATCGTCTAGAGGAAGGCCAAAGACGTTGATGAAGGGCGAGTTTCCAGGGAAGCAGCTCTCATCGAACACTGCATGCGACGAGATGAGCACCTTCTTTGCTGCAGGGTCCCAAAATCGCCAGGCCTTGGTGCCATCTGGGTAGCCAATGAAGATGCACTTGCAAGTGTGAGACTGCAGCGCTTTGCGATCCTTCTTGCGCACCAGAACATAGGCCAGAGAGCCAAAAACTCGAAAGTAGGACACATCTGGCTTCCTCCCATCGCCCTTCCATGCTGTGTAAGGTATGCCGCCATCTAGAGCAGATGTGGGCATGCAATTTCGCGTGTGGACAAAGGTAGAGACGGCGTGCACCCAGAACGAAGGAGGGAGCTTGGATTGCGCCAGGAGGGCAGTGGCACCCTCAGAAATCGTCCTGTTGGCTCGCTCTGCCACCCCATTCTGGTGCGGCTTGTCTGTCTCTGTGTGCTGACGATGGATGCCGTGTTCTGCGCAGAAATCGATGAATTCCTGGCCCATGTACTCGCCTCCCTTGTCGTCTCGAGTGGCCTTGATGCGCAGGCCCAGGGCGTTCTCAGCATAGGCCTTGTATGACTTGAAGGCTGCAAATGCGTCGCTCTTGCGCTTGAGATAGGCCACAGCCCAGAAGCGCGATGCATCGCAGACAAAGACCATCCAGTAGAGGTAGCCCTCAGGCGAAGGGACAGGCAGCTTGCCTTTGAGGTCTGTGTGGACCAGGGCGACACGAACAAACCTCCGGGAGGCGAAACGAGGGATGGGATGGCGATTTAGCTTGCCAGCAAGGCATGGCTCGCAGATGGGGCTAGGCTGACGCTTGGAGCGGATGGTGAGGCCCTGAACGAGGTCCTTTCGAATTGTGAAGCGGAGGTCGTCTAGATTGACGTGCGAGCAACGTCTGTGCCAAAGATCGAGGTCCTCCTCGCAGGCAGTGGAGGCAGAGAGCGCATTCTTCGGCTGAGGGATGGTATGGCCTAGGAGGTAGCCTGTGTTGTGCTCGTCGACTTTGGCCTCGAAGCGCAGCTCACCCTGGTGATAGAACAGCACAGAGGCGGCCTGTAACTCGACGGTGTAGCCCTTTTGGCGAGTGAGGTGAAACACAGACAGTAGATTCCTTCCAAGCGCAGGTACATGAAGGACATCGTGTAGAACGACAGCAGGGGGTAAAACGCCGCCTCTAGACGCAGGTTGGAACACTACAGACCCCAATCCAGCCGAGTAGACAATGTGCGAGTTGGCGAGGCGAATGGGGACGTTGTGGGGTGAGTAGGAGCGAAACCAGTGGCGGTGTGGTGTCATGTGTGCAGATGCACCTGTGTCGGTGTTCCAGTTAGCAGCAGCAGGCGAAGCGAGCCAGGTAGAGCGATCTGCTGAAGAGGAGAGGGCAAGAGCGCAACCAGCACTCACAGTGGCCGCACCAGCGGACTCCTGGGGTGTCCCCTGCGTCCTGGATGTGTCGTTCGAAGCCTGGGACGCCTCCTGCTTGCTTCTGGACTTGTTGGAGCGATACTGTGAGCGTTGAGCAGCACGTTCTTTCGCTTTGACACCGGCATCGCGTTTAGCGTAGCACTGGTCCTCGGAATGGCCGGATCGACTGCAGAAGGTGCAGGAGAGCGATGTGGCGGCATTAGAGAGGGCAGGGAC